AATACATTATTCGATTGGCTGAACAACTTTCTTTTAATCAGCAGTTCCCCTTATTATATTTGTTTGTTCTCCATTGCATTTTAAATCAAAAAATGGGAAAAGTTCCTTAATCGACAACTTAATAAATCCATCGAAAATGTTGAACCACATTTCCTTGAGTTAAGTATTGTCATCCTTAGGGGTTGATATTTATTGTACAAATGAATAGAGACATTATTGGAAAGAATTATGAGAGAATAATGGAGCATGAATGGTGGAATTTATTTGACGGAACGAGAAGAACGGGGTGATTTGATGATTTCATTTCTACTTATTTATATTAGTATTTTTGGAATAAAATATGTTGAACAGTAAATATGATAATTTTTAGATAAATAGGGTAGCTTGTGTAATTTTCTCTTATATAATCACATTTGGGCCTCAATTTGGACCCTTACTTTTGTTATATAGGCTTCCATATTTGGGCCTCAAGCCTGACTTGTTTTTATATGGAGTATAGTTTGATTGGCGTTTTGGACCTTAGTTTGGGCTCCTATTTTTATTCGAAAGTGTAATTTATTTTTAGTTTGAAAAAAAAAAGTGTGAAAAAGAAAGAAAGAAAGTATTTCTAATGTTTTTTTAGATATATCTTTGACATGTTGGTTGGCTCGGTACTTCGACGAATTTGTTGGTTGGTTCGGTACTTCGACGAATTTGTTGATTGGCTCGACTACTTCAACGAACAAAATGGAAGTTTCTATTTTAATTATCAATCATAAATGTTTTCGACACGATCGTAGAGATATGGATCAGGTTCGTGAGCGAGAACGAGAGCAAGGCCATGACCTTCACGATACTCATTCCATTCTATGTCATAAGGAGTGTTTCTTTGAAAACATTAGAGTTGATGATGGTTGCTTAGATTTTGAAGTTTTTACTCAATTGACTGCCCTTAAACAAGATAATCGATTAGTGACTGAGTATATTGCTCAATTTGAGAATTTCGAATGAAATGTCATCTCATTGAGGATGAGGCCCGGACTTAAAGTAGGTTTAGACAAAGTTTAAGAGATAATCTTAGACGTGAGTTTTTCTTTTGGGGTGTCACTACTCTTGATCAAGCTTACTCTTTAACTCGAGATCATAAGTTGATTACTGGTACTCTATATGAAAAGCATTGTGACAACCATACCCCAATCTCATCAGCGTCGCTTCCTCTTCAATCTATTAGGAGACCTTCACAGTCAAATGTCCCCCCTGTGTTTGAAAATAAGGGTACAATTTATGAAATTCCAAGGACTTCTTCTCACTTGTAGTGCTTCAACTGTAAGGACTTTGGTCATATCTCTTCCAAATATCATAGCCGAACCTTAGTCATTGAAGAACGAAAGAAAATAATAGACGAGTGGTTAAAAGATCAAGCCTATGAACATAAACTTGAAGAATCTGATGATAGTGAGAACACTTCCTTATGTAGTATTTTCACTTTTCCTATGAATCTAAGTATTGTACCCCTTATTCTCGATACCTCTAGTCAAGTGTTGTATGTCGTACCATTATCTAACCCAAAGATGCTATAGATTTGTGTAATCTTGTCATTTTCATGGAAAATCTTGGGCATTGAAATTTGATCATCCCAACAGTTCAAATTATATATAAAATTTCTGTGAATCGGTCTATAGTCTATAAGTTTGAGTTCCTTTAAAGTTATTCATGGTTATCAGTCTATGAAGCTTTTAGACCTTATTCTCATATCACCACATGCTAGTGTGTCGATGTCAGTTGAGACATTTGTACATTATCTTCATGATTTAGATATTGAGATCAATAAATGATTTGAAGCAAGTAATGCATCATATAAATTTCAAGATGATTTGCATAAACTACATTTTGAATTTAATATTGAGGATTATGTTATATTGTAAGCCGTAGTGTTGATCATTTTAAAATTTTGAAGTGTGTTGGTCCAAATGCACATATCATTGATCTTTTATCACATTTTGGCTACCACTCTACTTTCAATCACACGATTTTTTGATAAAATAATTTTACACGTAAATTCAAACTTTTTTCTATTTTCTAATTGTGCGTTCCCCTAAAAATATCAATACTACGGAACTCAATATTATAAATGAATAATGTTTCTTGTACATCACCCCTTATACAAGGGGTGACATAATGGCCAAGTGGCGCCTCCTTATTGGAGGGGCACGGAGCAAGACCGAATATAAATTTGGGCAATTTTTTATGGAATGTCGAGAAAAGACATTTCTTCCAATTTCATCTTAATTTTATTTTGACGAGATTCACCCATTAAAAAAGAAAAGTTTCGATTATCTAAATTTTACTTATAAACAAACACGTTCTTGCACGAGAACCGGCGACTGTCCGGCACAAGCCTTGCGACCTGCAAATTGAAGAGAAGGTTCTCCTTCCAGTGTTAGGTACAAATAAGTTTTCCTCAATTTTTGTTTTTAGCATACATACATGCTTTAGATTCTTACTAGATTTCCCTCAATTTAGTTAAGGTTGAGCTATAGGGTTTCCAAATGAATTGTTAAGAAATTTTTTTTTCTGTATAATAGATTTTCTTTCCTGATCAATTGGTAAATAAACTCGTAGGCGCAGTTGGTTCACTGGTTGCGAAATATCGTGGAGGTTAGAAACTTAATGTTTAGCTGTTTTTTTGTTTATGATTGTAAATAAGCGTTGAGGTCCTGAAATGCTCAAGCATGACATCTGTTTTTATATGGTTTTTGGCTTGTGGAATGCTAAGGAATTCGTGTTTTTATGTATCGTTGAATACACTTATTCATTATTGAATGTAGGCATGAACTTTGCAACTATTACGATTTTTCAGATTCAAATATATGGGCTGATGTGTTTCAGTGAAAATTATTTTAATTTCAGATACACAATGCTTCAGTTGTTTCTCTCTGAGCCGAAATGGATCGATTGCAATGCTAATGATGAATCTGCTAAGCAGAGAAAATCTCTTCTGAGTGAGTTGGAATCAGTTATCCAGTCATTGCTGTCTTCAGGTGGCCGATCAGAAGCTCGGCTCTGGCTTTGCAACACTCTTTCGGGAATAAGTTCTATTAGCCTGCACCGCCAACATGAGCTATTTTTGAGCTTACTGACATCCAAGCCAACAAAGCAACACTTAGCAGCACAACTTCTGCAATTGATATTCGATAAGAAGCCACAAAAGGTGGGACCTATTATAGCCAAGAAAAGTTACACGTTACAGGATTTCTTCAGAGGCAAGTAACTTCTCAAGCTGAAAATTCAATCTGCCTTTGAATAAAGTACTTGCAGATTCAGTTCTTTGTAGGCTAGTAAAAATGAGTGGGTTGGTATCCTCGATAGACTTTCATGTAAACATTTGTTCTCTCATGGGATTAACTGGACCTTGATTTTGGAAGCAGATTGCTGATTAATGAATAATTGAATGTGCATCTTGAAACATGATTTACGTGTAGTATTTAAACCACCCAAAAGAAAAAGGTATTATTGTTACATGGAATGATAGATTTCTCATTTGCCTGTTGATGATATTATTATTTGATTATCAGAAATCACTACTTCAAATTTAGACAAAAAGAGGTAGCTTTTGATAAACAAGTGATGGAAAAGGATTGATATAGCCTGTTCCCAATTTATTAAGATTACTGTTCAGCTTAATGTTTTATATGTGCTTCAATTTCAATTACAAGCAGAAACAGAAAGTTCAATAAATATAATTCTGGTGTTTATTGTACAGTCTTATTTATTTGTATAGCTTTAACATAATAAAATGATTAAAAATCCTACCTTGTTTCAATATATAGTTTTCTAGACTGATCTGTAAAGCTTCTCAACTCTTGGAGATAATATCTAGCTTATATAGAGTTCAAAGGATATCTCAACAAGATGTTTATATCTTCACGGTCATGGTTAAGCTTGCCAAATATCTAGTTACCCACAGCAAAATATTGTTTACTTTGTGAAAGATTGCTTTTCTGCATTTGAAAGTTGTCCACTATTTTTGAATTGATGAACTGGTAATTAATCCAGGAAACCCAGTTCGTATCTCGCAGTGGTTCTCTAATTTTTCTGGCAGCGGTGGTTTGGAGCATGGAAAAGGGGCGAAGGCACTGTCCCAATTTTCCTTTGTGAATCGGGACCTTTGTTGGGAGGAACTTGAGTGGAAAGGAAAACATGGGCAGTCACCTGCAATGGTTGCTACAAAGCCCCAGTACTTCCTTGATCTGGATGTCCAACAGACAGTAGAGAATTTTCTTGAATACGTGCCTGAATTTTGGTCATCACGTGAGTTTTCAGAGTCGTTAAAGGACGGTGAGATTTTGGATATTGATACAAAATTCTTTGTCAATTTGTTTGTTGACCTGATGTATAAAGATGACTTGGAAGAAATATGGGAAGTTATAGATGAGTTCCTCACTGAGGAATCTTTTTCATTTTTATGTCGTCACCTTCTTATCATTCTTAACGAGCAGGAGTTGCAGCTTTTCCTAGATATGATCAGCAAACATCTTAATCGAAGGTCAGAATCCATTGAGTATGGTAATGCATCTCAGTGGCTTGAGATTATACTTTCAAACTGCACCGCTGATTGGACTATCAATCAGCTACTTCTACTGAATGCAGTGACTACTCAAGGTCGGCAGCTCCTGCGTTTTGTGCGCGAGGAAGGCAGTGAGGGCATAAAGGAAAAGATAAACAAATTAGTTTTTCATCTTTGTGAATCAGGCAGTGCCAATGATTTGACACCGATCATGAAAGAATGCTTTAACAGGAAAACAATAGAAACTATAAAATTGTTAGGCCTGCAGTCTTGGGCTATTCATTTTAGGCTGTCAGAGGAATTTCATTCTCCTGAATCCTGGGAATCTTTATTTATCAATAATGGGATAAGGTTTCACAAGTCCAACAAGTATACATTGTTACACGATGAAATTTCGGAAGATTGTGGATCTGATTCAGGTGAAAGGCCTTCAAAGAAATTCAAGTCTAAAAAGAAAAGAAAACATAAGAAGAAAAGGAGGAGAAGTTTTGACCCAGACCAAAGTGAGGAAAATGAGTTAAGAGATTTTGATTTGTCAAATAACAGGCTGGATTTACAATCTAAGGCTGGTGATTGGCTGCTTTCTACTGATGGCTATTCTACTACCTGGAGCAGTGTAAGTTTGACAGCCTTCATTTAGAAGTAATTTATGCCTGCCTTGTTGCTGGTATTGCATAATTTTTTGCCATCTCTTCTCTGTGTGAATTTAGGTATAGGATTTAGAAACTTGAGGTATCAATATGCTCGAATACTCATAAATATTGTCAAAAACTTTGCTTTTTAGGCATGCCTCGAAAATAGAAAGAGAAGAAATGCATAAAAAGCATCATTTATGGAATCGTTTATGACTAGTTTCTTATGTGAAGGATTAGTTTCTCAAGAACATTTGAATTTTTGAAATTATATCTAGCTTCAAAAAATTTACCAAGAGCTTCTTTTCACTTTTGTCAGTATGAAGTACCAGAACTCTTTTCTCTTGTTGGTTGCTCCAAAATAATGTAGACTACTCATCATGTATATGGTAACTGAAGCCCACTTGCGACTATTGTTCAATTTGAAATTGTGTAGCTTCAAAAATTTTACCAAGAGTTTCATTTCACTTTCGTCAATACGACGTACCAGAACTCTTTTCTCTTGTTGGTTGCTCCAAAATAATGTAGACTACTCATCATTTATATGGCAAATGAAGCGCACATACGACAATTGTTTGATTTGAAATTGTGCATATGCTGTAAGTAGTCTCACAGTTTTATGTCATTTCTAATTTTCTTTGTGAGCTCGTGATTTTGTATTGAAGTTGTCCTGAGAGCGTTGTGTAAAGTTTTACTGCGTCAATTATATTCTTGAGCTTCAGTTTGTTTTGCATGTCATTCATGCTGTATCCCTGGTTTCCTTTCCCCTTTTTATTGCATCTCTCTCGCTCTCTGACACAAGTGCACAAGTACATTCCAAGCCATCTTATATCACTAATTTTGGATCATTATGCTGTAATGTAGGTAGACCTGCCAGAACACCTGTCAAAGCATTGCTTCTTTCTGTGGTTGAAGTGGGTTTTTGCCAAATGGAGAGATGTTGCTTGACCTTTCACTTCGACTTCAGGTCAAAATTGTTGAACTGGGAAAAACCGTAAGATTTAACCCCTGCCATGCACTTGATGAAACTTTTTTCAAGACTTGCCTGATAGAAACTGATGCTACTCTATGTGGTTTCTTTTTCCCCAACGGTTGGAAATAGTTGATGAAATCTGCTTTACTAAAATGAGTAATCCGACTTGTAGCTGGTGTACTTTCTGGATCTGAGCAGTTGTGTCGAGTATCTATCTAAGCAGCTTTGCGAGTACCTGACAGAATTCTGCTTTAATTGCCTTGCATGGAATATGAATTGCAGTGGATGGTGAAGAAACAGTGATATGCTGGTGAAAAGTGATGGTGCATTTCTATGGATCTGATTTTGTATTTCTGTGTTGTACTGAATTGTAAAAGACTGGAATTGAAGTACAATTCAAAATTAAAACAAATACTCCAGAGACTGAGCACTATGTCCAGATTGTCGCGCATTGAATAATTCTGTTTATCATCTGGTGATAATCATCGGTTTAGGTGGTACAACCAACAACAGAAGCTACAAAAATTAAGGAGGCATGATTTCCAGTTCAACATTTTGCTGAACGACGCTACTGCTCATCACTCTACACATCCTGAAGAGTTTCAAACTATCAAGAAGTCCTAAAGATGGGTTTAATAATCTAACCCCAAGGATTAATTCGAGGGCATGGGTATTCAACACAATTTAAATGGGGTTAGGTGAGGTCAAATGATACCATAGAGTTTTTAAAATTTTTTTTCACTTTTCTTCTAGTCTGTACGACTTTTTTCCTTCCACTTTCTGCCTCCCAACTTCTCTAAAGCCACGAAACCCATACTTCTCTTGAGCTTATTTGCACTGACGTTGATCTATCACATTTTTGTCCACCTCAACACCAGACTTCTCAAGCCCTTAACCCACGGTTTTAACTAAGTAATTGGATTGAAGATTTGATAGTTGAATGATAATCTAATTGTACACATTGAGGACGAGGACGCCGTATTTGACAATAATGATTTCAATATATAAAAATGCACAGGAAATGTTTGTAGTGATGTATTGAATTATTTTCATTAATATTATCTCGTTTGGAAAAAAATTTTAACTTAATTTTTGACCCCACAATAAAAAATGTCCAACGTCTCCGTAGGTCTTCGAGTATAAATTGAAGTGCACACCCATATTATTCACGTGGCTGCATCCCGAACTCTTGTTTAGAAACTTATTCTTTCAAGTTGCTGATCTGTATAACAACTGGAAAGTGGCCAACAAGAATTACTATTGAGAAAAACAAAGTAAATACGAAAAAATGGCAAATTGGAGCTTCCAAATAGCCAGTTCTGCTGGTTTTCTATTGCAGGAAATATAGTTGATGACATCTAAGATTTTGCTTCCATAAATCATGATTTAAGTAAGTTGGGCGCCGAACCAATGTTAATGAAGTTCTTATGTGGATGCCAAAACGACATCCACATTGTTGCACAAGTCGTGCAGATCATCGTACTGACTCCTTACATATCTAAACACGGCGTAAAGATAAAATACATGCTTGTCTCAAATTATTGGAAACTGTAAAAGTTAATTTATTGCACAGGCTACAAATGTTTACAAGACAAATGCACTTGCAGGTGCTCAACACACATCAGTCGGTCCCAGGCACGTACAACTAATAATTTTGAGTGTCCTGGCATCAAGGAACCATGAATGGAACAATGTTGTCTGCACTGCCCTTCAAATAGATGACTTTAGAGTAGAGGAAACTTCAGTTCCAGCGTTCTCAAGCCCTGCAATTAGAATACGAAGTGTTATTTCCGGCTTAAATTGATGCATGAAAAGGCATATCACCATCTTGAACTAGAAAAGCTGGAGTAAGTGGATCCGAATCAATTGTTTCTTCAGAAACAATGGTCAATTACTAGCTGTAAATCTAATTGCACTTCACATTTAACATCTCATCCGTCCAGAGAGGATATATATACCATCCAATTATTACCAACGTTGGTCTTCCATCATAAATAAATATATCATAAACCTAATGAAACTTCTAGAAAACAGCATCCAAAGCTTGCTTGGTAGAGGCAACTTGTTTGAGACCGAGTGTAATTGCCGTTCTCAGATGGACTATCAATTCTTACAATGTCTGCAATAGCTGTAACTTGTTAAAGGGAAAAGAAACTCACTCGATGACACATGGGCTGGCAAGCTGACATATTTGGGACAAGAGCTTTTCGAATAAACCATGTTGCTTTGGCGGTTGGAATCAGCAGCACAGTCTCGAGGCTGCAAGAAAATTCTATTTTCAGAATAGAGACTAATATCAATTAGCAGAGTAAAACAAAATGAAATACCCATATAAATATAAGTAATAATGAACAGAGGCTTTCAGGGACTGTTCCATGGGGAAATATGAAATGCAAAATTCTCCAAGTCAGCTTATATACCATACAAGGCATCAAATATGTATCATCCAAAAGTTGAGCAAAAAGAGGATGGGGACTGAGGAAAAACGTTGAGCTATTGATTCATCTAAAAACAAAAATTAAAAGAACAAACTGCTGCTAACTCCAACAGACGATTGGGTGAAAACATCAGCAGCTTTAAATATCATGAATTGCCATTTGTGATTTTTCAGAGTTGTAGAAATTGAGGGAACATTTACTAAACATATATACGAAAATAGGATGGAATCTGACCTTGAAATCCTTATAGAAGCATAACCGAAGTTCCTCCACAGCATCACCTTTGCATTGAAGTTCTGGAGTTGCATGGAAAGCATTCTGAATGGCAGAAATAATGCCTCCTACAGGATACTTTTCAGTATTTGATGCTACATATCCAGCTTCTTGCAGAGCTTCCTGCATGATGTTAAATCCATTACAGTTGATCCGAAAGGTCAAGAAAAGAAATCGAATTACCAACTAATATCAAACTTAAAAAGGTTCGTAATTGAATAAACCTAACAGATTAACAATAATACTCATTTGAGAAGAAGAGAAATTTATACTGTAACATCAGTCAATGTCTCAGATAAATATGGGGTTTTACATATGTTAGCCCTATATCCTGTAGGAGAATCCTTGGGAAATCAATATCCTCAGTGTCGTCCAAACTAGAAATGGTATTGCAGTGCCCTGCCCCATTTCCAGAACATCAATTTGTATCATATAACGGAAAGATGCCAACAACCCTCCCTGTGAACTTTCATAGGAGTTCTCATTTAAATGTTATCTTACCTGGTCTTTTCCACAAGTTAACAATCTTGGCTAACAATTATTTTAGCAAACCTGCATAAATGGTCTCAAGACTCTCAACATATATCCTGGAGTTCTCATTTAAAAGTTATCTTCCTTGGTCTTTTCCACAAGTTATCAATCTTGGCTAACAATTATACTGGCAAACAGGCATAAATGGTCTCGACTCTCTACATACATATCTAGACAGCTCAACACTGCACGACCACTAGCAAATTATGAGTAAAATATGCCAACTATAAGTAGCACAAACTCAGATCCCTGAAACATTTTCCATCACTTGGTTCTCCTCTCATATTAAATTTAGCGTTCTGAATTAAGCAACGCCAATAGCCTTAATATCCCTGAGTTCCTGTCTAATCAATAGGTAAGGCAAAAATGTTTGATCATGCCAGTTAATGCATACAGGCATCAAAAGGCAACTCACGAGAGAGTAAAAGTAAAATAGATGACCCACAGGAAGCCCTTAATCGCTCTTCTTCATCGAAAAGCAAGGAAAACCATACAGGAAAAGTTCATTCCGCTGAATCTTAGCCCTTAATTGCTCCTCTTCATTGGAAAGGAAGGAAAATCGTATATGAGAAGTTCATCCTGTCGAATATTGAGCATGTAGTCACCGGCAGTTCAGTAAATATAGCACCAACAAACGCATTTCTTTCCTGAAAGTAGAAGTCATAACATAACTTCCCTTTGAACCGAGTCAATATGCAGTTGACACTCGTATCAAAATAACACATAAAGGCTCGAGAAGCCTGTATGAGGCAACTACAATCATTTAAGAAACATACACAAAGAATGAAAGTGGGAAAAACATAGAAGCTAGACAGTAAGTTTGAATTTCTCTCCTATCAGCTCAATCCAATATAAAATGCAATCTTACCGTAACATTATATTTGAAATAAAGATTAAGTGTCGTCAAGAAATAGCTGTATTCATCTTTGGTAACTGAAGAGGAACAAGTTCCATGTTTTTCTGTACAGAGAGAACACGAAAATTAGAATTAACGAATCAGATTTTTTTCAAGTGAATGAATTGTTCGTCTAATCTGAACATGTCAACTCGGTTTCTAAAATATCTATAGTATAACTTCTAATGTATAATAAGATTTTCCAATCCCAACTTGGATTAACGGGTTAAATTAATCCTCTATAAATTAATAACCTCTATTATATAATAAAATTTCCCAGTCCCAACCTTATTAGTTTTTACAGGTTATACATTATATGAATATTCAAAACAGCCACACTTGTCCATTTAGAATCGTTCCTCGAGACAGAAGAGCTCAAGAGCAGAAAATAATACTATCAACGTAAATGTAGCTTTATGAACTAATGCAATAAAAAGAGAAGGGAGCAGGGTGATGCAATTGAAGGGCCAGGTTTAATGATGTGATATATGCTAACTAGACGGTCAGCTAGAATACAAAGTTAGTTTGATGATATTGGAGACAAGTAGCATTTATATGCACTACTATATATCCAAGCATGTTATCCATCAACACCTCAAGCTATTTGTATAAAGATAAATGTCATACTGTTGATATTGAATGAAGTACTAAGAATCAATTTAAATGCTTTGTTACATACAGAACATCATTTTCAACTAAATTAGAGATATATAAGTAATAAGCTTCATTAAGCAGATCATAAATCGAAAGGATAAAACTACAAAAGAATTCACACAAAGCAAAGATGATTACCCCACTGTCTCAGGTCATCCCCCAGTTCCAATATGAAATGAACAAAGGGAGCAATAATTAGTTTCAAGTAATGAAATCACCAAATCTAATGAACAAGCAGCCAATAAAAAACCACCTCATGTGCCCAAAATAATCCTTTTCCACCATGGCAATTTGATACAGAACTACAACTGAAGGATGGCCAGTACTTGTTCAGAACATCAAGCAATGTCGAGATCTGCAGCCAATAATTTGGTATTGGACAGAATAAACAAACAAAGAAATAGTAACTGCTTAGGAAATAACCATAGGCTTTAGAAAGTATTTGTCTTGTCTGAATAAGAGAACTAATTTTGATTAAAGAAAATGTTGGATATGTAATAAATAAATGGCCTAGAAAGAGGAGAAACGCACTAATTTAGAATATAGTAATAAAGCACCACAATAACTGAACAAAATCAAAACTTGGTCGCATCTTGCTGATATTCCATCTAAGTAAAGTAATTAATTTACACAGATCATTTCAATCTAACTGAAAATAGTCTTAATAAATAAATTATGTATTTTTTCAGTTGGTCAATGTAAACTAATTCCTATTTGGTCTCATCTTTTTGTGGATGTATTTAACGGTGATCCAAGTGAGTCTTCTCTACCAAAAACTCCTAATCTATTAGTGGATATCTTCATGCCAGATATAGTGACATGTTTGAATGTCACCAACAATTTTCAACAGTCATGCAGGTGTACCACTGAGTGCGTACACACGGCTTCTAAAATATAAAGCATCTGTCCAGAGACTAAAGTGCAAGAGTAAACTACCTCTTTCACATCAAAACTGTGACCAGCACAACATGCAGGCCAAGTACCATCATTGTAGTCAGGCCAGAGTCCATCTGTAGAGAAAGAGTGAAAGACACATGACAAGTAGAATGCAAATGGTTAAAAGTTTTTCGAAGAATTTCTTTCAACAATCTTTTTGTCTCTTTTGTCGCACATATTCCTTTACTTCCATAAAGCAAAGCAGCAAGTAAAAAGTATGAAAGTCATTCTAACAGTTAAATTGGAGATAACCAGAAAATTTACACAGCCGAACTGATTTTCATATGTCAAAAAAAGTCATATGATGGACTTACGGATTGTAAATTCAACCGGCGCCTTTGAACTGCATCAAAATCATAAAGAGACAAAGGTAAATTTCCCTGTCATTCTTATGCAATATATATTCACATGCGAAACTTTCAGATAAAACTCGATTGAATATTGAAAAGTGCTCAACATATGTTCTTTGTCTCTAATCATATTTGACATTTCAGATCCTCAGATAATGGTCCTGTAAAAAAAAATAGGAACTTTGACCACATAAATCGTCTTAGCACATAAGCTTTTCCACAGATCATTTCATTAATTTTTCAAAATAAAAAAACAAAAAAGTATGGAACAGAATTAGATCCAAGGCAACAAATCACATCAGCACGCAAAATTTTCAGAAGTAAAAAGAAAAAAGAGAATAAAAATCAAAATTACCCTCGGCAACATCCATTGGAGGAACAGCAACGCTTAGTGTTCCGACAGACAGTGCCCGGCCATTGCATAGACAGCTTAAAGTAATCAAATTCTCTCTGCTTAAGGTCTCCTCCTCCTCCTCCCAGTACTGATTTTACATCCCAACCGGCATTGATTTCTCCGATACAAAACAATCCGATTGAAATAATTGAAAGCAGTACAAATTGAATTGATCGGTTGAGGAGAAAAGCCATGGCTCTAGACCAACTGTTGCATTGATGCTTGTATTGTTATTGCTTTATGCTTCCTATTAATATATTTGGTGAAAGGATCGAACAACGGGACCGGGGGAGTTTAATACGACGGCGTTTTGATTGAATTAATCGGATTTACCAAATGAAAAGAAACTATTCAACCACCATTTAGTCATAAACAAAGAAAAAAAAAGTGTCAATTTTTTATTTTTAAATTCAATATTAAGTACAACCGAATCATGCTATATCTTCATTTTTAAATATAGGAATTTTAAAAAATACGATTCGATAAACCCTTTAAATAATGCATATTGTATTTCTTATCGAGCTATTACATCTTCTATATATTAAAAGTGGTTATGTAACGAAATTTCTTATTTTTAACGGAAAAACTAACGGAATTTGTTGTTTTAACGGACTATGTAACGGAATTTTTTATTTTAAACAGGCAGCTGCACTTTCNAACATCAAAATCACACATCTATTTATTTATCAATTACATAAACATTATATCATTAATTATTTAGATGGTGTCTATTTCTGCTTTTCAGCAGAAATCAAGCCGTTGGCAGCACAATTCATGTCGTTGGGAGTCGCAATTTTGGACCAATTCTCTCACTGTAGGGCTGTAGGTTTGAAAAAAAAAGGGTAACATAATCAATTTTCCTTCCTCCTTGCAGTGCGCTCAGACACGCTCTTAATTAATCAAAAAAATTACATCTTTATTGATAACAAATTAATTCTTAAACAAAACTATTAAATATAAACTAAGCAAACGTGCATTGCACGTTACTTGCACCTAGTTTTTAAACATGTATAAATCTTCCAAATAGCTCGTTAATTATCATTATTAATTATAGAAACAATTTTGTTATATATAAATCTCGCACGTGTAAGCTACGCATTGGCTCGGAATATAATTGAATTATTGTCAGCTAATTATAATATACTTTGCATTGAAGATGTTAGTGATAAATCGATTATCTTCCGACAATTTTGATTTTCTCCCTTCCGGAAATTTTGTATGAAGTCTTACGGCTAGTCTACTTATCTCGCTACATGGAAGTTTTTCGAGCGTGCTCAGTCTCCACTAGCTAAAACGTCGAGTATATGTTGCTCATTCAAAACAATTTCTATGCAGTATTAAAGAATGATATACGATTCTTTCTATTTTGACGATATTCGGAATAATTTTACTTTGCATCTAAAAGGATAGAAAATACATAGTTCTTTTGTTATATTTGTTTTGAATTATTCCATGAAATCTAAGATCCAAAGAAAGTCTAAAAAAGAAGAGAGAAGAAAACGAAATTGTGCAGATTTGCATTAACGGTATAAAATTGTGGCTTTTGAGATATTTGGGTGAAAAAAAGGGTGAAAGGGTTCCTCTTTTAATGGGCTTAGATTCTTAGCTCCAATTTCTTTTCCCTTTTGCTTTTCTCTGCCTTTTTCTCTCTCTCTTTAAATCTTTTTTTTTTTTTCCCCTCTTCATAGATAATATATTCATGGAATTGTTCACCAAATATTCTCTCAAAGAGTTGTAAGAAGATGTAAAAATGCAACCTGCATAATTTTTTATTTTCTCAAATATAATCGCGATCGAATATAATTGACACGGTCTTAGCATTTAGTTATATGAAAAATGAAATAGAAGAAGTGACGATTGTCTATCGATCAAAGAGTCAAAAAGTCCATTATTTCGTCTACGTTATATAATTTTTGAAATCGCTCGAGACCTTTTTCATGGTAGTAGCAGAGACGATCCGGAAAATGCACGAGAGGTGCGACCGTATAGGGTCCCTAATTGTAGGGTCACTAAGAAAAACAATTTCGGTCCAAGAACCTTTTTGTTACATTTTATTATGAGGTTGAAACTTTTGTTTGGAAAAAAAAAAAAGTGCTTTTAGATGCAAGCCATGTTTGGGATGAGACTAAATCTAAGAGAATATGGAAAAAAGTGGTCAAGAGAAAACATGGACAAAAATACGATACGATACGAAAAGTGACATGGGATCCGTTGATATTTTCAAGATCTTATATTGTTGTCACCCTCCATAGTATTCGTACGCATAAAGCTCAACAATATTTAAATGTATATCACAGCGTGTCTGATTTAGAGTAAGACGTAAATATTAATTTTTCCTTACGTTTTGTATCGTCAAGTCTAGACAATCAAAAATACCGAAAAAGAATTGTGCATATTGATTAATGGTGCTTCAATATTATCGATGCTGCCAATGAGGCATATCAATTTTCAGATTTTAATTAGTCTATCAATATTCAATAATGTAAGCCTCTCAATGATTTTGATAAAAATCAATTTTTTAATAAATTTTAATAAACGTGGATAAAAGTTGTAAGTTCCAAAAAATGCGCCGTGGGAAATAAATTTGAAAAATAAAAAGGAATTTTAAGAAAAGAGGACAAAAAAACAAGCTATATATAGACGGTTGATTGTGCACACTTAAAAAAGGAGGTTTAAAATTAATTTGTGTTGGAAACTATGCCCACCAAAAAACATCAAGCCTTATGTACATTTGGTCAAATTGAGAACATTTTTAACTAAAACAAATGCCAAACATATGTTTGTCATCCTTGAGGATGTCGAAAAGGTATCAAACTCAATTTGCCAATGTTCTTTTGGCCCTACCTTCCCTACCAATTTCCATTTACCAATGAAAAAGTTGACAAAAAATACATATAAAATTAAATACTAACTAGAAATATTGTCCGTGACTAAATCATCATCGGTGCTTATAGACAAATTTATTGTTGGCACATTGAAGTCAATTTCCATTTACCAATGAAAATGTTGACAATAAATACATATAAAATTAAATACTAACTAGAAATTTTGTCCGTGACTAAATCATCATCGGTGATTATCGACAATTTTATTGTTGGCACATTGTCGTCGATAATCGTCGAACGTGTTTTTGTGATCACCAACAATATCACGGAATAATGGTTCCATCTGAATCACGAGCATATATGGATTTCAATAATGTAACTAAATAGTTTATAAAGAGAAATTGTAGTCGATTTCATAAAATGTATGAATGGGTGTTTGGTGAAAACTAAAATTAGATTTTTAATGGATTGTGATAGAAGTTTTTGAAATGTGTGATTGAAAATATGTGGGACGCATGATAGATGTTATTAATATTGTTTGTTTATCTTTGACTTAGATTAAAATCAGATTTTAGGGCATTAACTACCGATTTCCAGCAGATTTTAAGCAGAAAAATGGCCGTTTTTTTCAAACGGTGGGTCCCATCTGTGCCTAAGATAGTCAACAATGGCTGCATTTTTTAAAAAGTAACAGTACACAAATCAATTTTTTTGGTTAAAAAATCTGTGACAGACACGCCCTTAATTTGACCCAAACATGCCATAAATATAAATTATAAATGTATAATTAAAATTAATATTTAATTTCGACTTGTAAAACACGTAATAAGTCAACTTTTTAACATGACTATTGAAAATGGCAAATTTTCCCAAAAAGATTTCCATTCCCAAAAGAGCAATCCACTCGCTTGCCGACATTTTGTTTTCACACGCTTTTCAATGTTTTTGATATATTAATAATAATTTGAGATCACGAGATGCTTTTAATTAGTGAAATTTCCATTTACCAATGAAAATGTTAACAATAAATACATATAAAATTAAATACTATCTAGAAATTTTGTCCGTGACTAAATCATCATCGGTGATTATCGACAATTTCATTGTTCGCACATTGTTGTCGATAATCGTCAAACGTGTTTTTGTGATCACCAACAATATCACGGAATAATGGTTCCATCTGAATCACGAGCATATATTGATTTCAATAATGTAACTAAATAGTTTATAAAGAGAAATTGTAGTTGATTTCATAAAATGTATGAATGGGTGTTTGGTGAAGACTAAAATTAGATTTTTAATGGATTGTGATAGAAGTTTTTGAAATGTGTGATTGAAAATATGTGGGACGCATGATAAATGTGATTAATATTATTTGTTTAATTTTGACTTAAATTAAAATCAGATTTTAGGGCATATCTGTTACCGATTTTTAGCATATTTTAAGCAGAAAAATGGCCTTTTTTTTCAAACTGTGGGTCCCACCTGTGTCTAAGATAGTCAACAATGGTTGCATTTTTTAAAAAGTAACGGTACACAAATCAATTTTTTTGGTTAAAAAATCTGTGACAGACGCGCCCTTAATTTGACCCAAACATGCCATAAATATAAATTATAAATGTATAATTAAAATTAATATTTAATTTCGACTTGTAAAACACGTAATAAGTCAACTTTTTAACATGACTATTAAAAATGGCAAATTTTCCCAAAAAGATTTCCATTCCCAAAAGAGCAATCCACTCGCTTGCCGACATTTTGTTTTCACACGCTTTTCAATGTTTTTGATATATTAATAATAATTTGAGATCACGAGATGCTTTTAATTAGTGAATATCATGATATGACGAGTTACTATTGTGGAAGAAACGTGATCATCGGATTCTATTTCTTAATAAATTTTATAATGTGGAAAATACCCGTATGAAAATATTATGAAAAGTGCTACATGTACATAAATTTATACATAATTACATGTGGCACTGGATCCAACCATTAATTCAAATTTAAAACTTTCACATCAACAACATAATTTGGTCCCCGTCACATTATGGAAACTATTATGTACATATAGACTTTTCCATTTTTGAATACATCAAATAAATTTATACATAATGATGTTCATAATAACACGTGACATAGAATCCAACCATTAATTCAAATCTCACACTTTCACATCAACAACATGATTTTGTCCACATCACATTATGGACACTAATATGTACATATATTATGTACATGTAGACTTTTCCAAATATTATTACAATCATGCTATAGGTACAAGATTCAAAATTCTTGTACCTACAGAACAGACACAGCCAAAGGCGGGAGCAACATTTTTTTTTTCCAATATTTAATACATGGGGCCC